TGTTATTTCAGATTTTTACAGTGGATTACTTTACCTTTGTCTACTGTATGATTTTTCTTGATGGAGCCGCTCCAAATTTCTTAGGCTGATTGTTTAAAGGGAAGGATTCACGTTTATGTGCATGAGTGAGAGATGACGCGGCTTCACTATTTATCAAACAATCAGAGAATTAAGTAAAGACAGACCAGCAAGGACTCCCTATCTGGCTTTGTGGTCGCGTCGCATTATCGCCTTCCAATTGCATTTTTGCTTTCACAAGCGTGTCGTAAGGGACTTTCCCTTTTTGTAAGAGATGATTGGATGTTCTAGAAAAATTGTTTTCAGCATGTCATCGATGTGTTTTCACCGACGTATTTGGTAAATTATCTCACTCACCCTTTCCTACGGTTTTTTTTTTACTGTCGGCGCTTTGAAAGGTTTGTAGTGAACTCTGTTGTCGAGTTGCACTTTAACCTCTTCCTTTTTTTTTCTGTCTTATTCATAATGACTATCTGTCTTATTCATAATGACTATTGTTATATGATGCTTTTAGAGGGTTTAAAGCAACAATAAGCCCTGTCAGATCGTAGGAAGGCCAAATCTTACAGCGAGTTCAAGTTGATTGCTCATGCGATATCACAGATTGATTTAGTGTTGGCCCGACGAATTTAATCCGATGGCTGTCACGCCATGCATGCGCTTAACCGTGATTTCGTGCCTTAAATAAAAAAACCTATATTGTAATGATCAATTCAGCATTCCTCTTAAGAATCAGATTTTGCATTCGGTTTACAAATCAAGTCCCTTGATCAAGAACATAATTGTTACATAAAACAATAACTAAGTAATTTAGTTTATCTCATGGATCGAAAATGCGTAAGCAAAGAGTACAGTCATGAAAAATCTAAGTATCACCTTTCTCATTTTTTCTGTCTCCAAAAGTAAATCAGCGGATTAACAAGCGAGTTTATCATGGCCCATGTTTGCATCAATGGTATGTTGATTGGGCAAATATCAAAAAGGTGAGTTACTCCGACGTTGAAACAGAAGCCAAGTGGAAGGAAGTAAGCGACAACTGCACCAACTACAAACGTTGTCATAAGCGCCTTGCACTCTTCAATAAATCTTTCCACTTTTTCTTGGGGCAGTTGCTGTGCTTTTATTTTCCTTTGGTGGCGACGATCTTCATGATACAGAATCATATAAGCGAGAGCAACGAAAACAAAACATGCACTTGCGATAAGGCTTCCTATGAACTTCAATGCTAAATGCACTTTTAACGCCACAAAAACCCCACACACAAAAGCAAAGGACCAAAATGCTGATACTGCTATCTTCAGGTTGTTGCCAGTTATGACGTTTGTGTAGTTCTTCGTAAATTTGATTACTATAAGCCTTTCAAAGTAACCAGCATTAGATGGAGCTGTGAGGCTATGAAAAATACATTCGTACTGATGAAATGGAAAGCTTCGACTGCTTGGCTGCCCGCCAACAAGACCGAATAATAGGAATATCCTCCACAGGATATACGACGGTTGGCAAAGAAGACCAGTTAATGCGTAAGTCACCGCTAAACAGGCAAGCTAGATGTTGCTGTTGGTTCGCAGTCGTGGTCTTGTTTTCACGGCCTTATCACCAGCACGTTAAGCAGAACTGTGAAGGAACAAGTGATGCCGTCAATGATGATAGTGATAATAAAACTAACATCCAGTGGGGCATTTACTGTACCTATCATCTTTGTAGAGTTGGTATATTATGTCCGAAAAAAAATCTGATACATGTAGGTTGAATTTGATACCTTGGGAAGATCAAACAAACCTTCTGATCATTACGTTTGATCTAAATATAGCTGTTTTTGGAAGCTTTTACCGACACGCTCTGCTCTAGTGTTCATGTGTTTCCACATGAATTTTTATCACTCATGAATTACAGCAATTCCAAGCTAATTCATCGTTAATGTGGTTGTCAATTTTTTTCATTGACCATGGTGACTTCAAAGCCTCAAAATTCGTGATTGGTTTATTAGTGACTTCACGGCGAAAGAAAAGTCAGTTAATCTAGGAATTGGTATATTATAAAATATAAATATATGATTACTGATTTTGTCGGGAATATGACCTTTTGTTTCGGGAGTGTAGAAGCAGAATCCGTTTGACCTTCGAGGCTCGATATTCTTGCCTTATTTTAGTCCAATAATTCATATATTAATTGAATAACATGTTTTTTTTATATTCTCGATTTCCTGATTTTTTTTATCTTGTGATCCTGTTTTTTTATTTTTTTTATTTTGTGATACACGAGTCACAAGTTTTCACACGAAATTTAACGAGTCTCTCAAAGTATAAACGTTGTGATTCATGATTCTGCTCCAACCCCGGATTGTTTACCGAATAACCCTGAAAATCAGTTTATGCAGGTCCATTGATTCTATGTGCCTCTAATAACTAAACAAGTTAGTTTATATTTTGTCAGAATTTTAATCTTTATTTGCGTTAAATCATTAATCTGTTATGAACTGGTGTGAAATCCAGGTGTCCTCCTTAAAGGTTCATAGACGCACATGTCAATGGTGCCGTAGAATTACCGTCTCTGGCACAAATTGAAGTTTTTCGTTTACCAAATCATGACAAGATCGTTTTACTGCTAAGAAATCGGAAATGGAAAACTTTGAAAGGCTGAACACCATTCACAGAGCAGTCAAAGACGCTCACGCTGGAATAAATGATCTAGAATGTGACATGGACTTTTTTTGTTATTCTGTATCTAATTAGATTATCACCAAGGTGTAGGAGGAAAATTAAGAAGCCCCCAAGTGGTGAGGCGCCAATGCAGGACTTTAAGTCGGCACTGAAATGGATAAATGCTTCTATTTACCAAATCCACTAAATACGCCACTATTCAGCGCGGTTTGGGCATCCATTTTAAGGATACTCGGAACGCTAAAAGTAAACTAAACAAGAGATTAGGGCAAGCAATATGGCGTTCGCTGTTGAATTGTATCGTCGTGTACTTACATACATAAATTTCTTTCTGAAATCAGACAAATTGCATTCCTAAGTTGAATCAGTAACAGACTAAATATCTGTATATAATCCGGTTTCTGTGGCTTTGATGTTCAATTATACTTCAAAATAATAGTGTCAATGACGACGGGAAAAGTAAAGCAAAATCCATATTTTTATCACCTCCCACTGTAGAATTTTTTTTAAATAAGCGTGACCTAGTAAACCACGTAAAACACAAGGGAAAATTGAAAAATTTAATGAAAATCACATGTTCACACTGACCTTGGGAGGAAAGGGATATTCATGTAGTGATATAGGTAATGTACAGTAATATGTGCGCAAACGTTGTTTTTCATTTGGGAGATGCTTGTAAAAGTGTTTGAGTTGGTTTATTAAAAACAAATGTTTCATCTTCCAAGTTGGCCAGCGCGCCCATTAATGCTTACTGATAGTGAATGCAATTTGTGTGTAACGAGTGAATGGAAAAGCGTAAAGTTCTAACCGCCTACAGAGCACATTGAGCAGAACTGTACATGTGAAGGGACTTGCAATGCTGTCGATGATGATGGTGATGAAGTAACTATCTTCCAGTGGGATATTTGCTGTGTCATCAGTAACATTTTTGTAACGTTTTGCAAATTAAGCCCGGAGAAGTTCGATGTGTAGAGTGTATACCAAATAGAGATCAATTATACCGTTTGGATCAATACGTCAAATCTTAGCTGTTTTTCAGAGGTTTCCATTGACTCACCGATTCTAAATTCCATTTCTTTCCGGTCGACTTTTCTGGCGCACCACAGTAACTCGTTACCGCTTATAATTGATGAAACGTTTTAATTTTTTTTTAGGAAACTACAAAAGTAATTAGTTTGCACATCATCACCACACAAATTATAAAACTTAATGGCATGCTCCAAAGACGAGGCAGATGTCCAAAAAAATTATATTTGTAATTAAAATTGTAGTTGACGAATCTAAAGTAGTGAGCTTTAAACCCACAATTGACATCCCTGACAATGGAAAAGCCGAAATGTGACAATGACAAAGCAAAATAAATGTTAAAAAAATCAAAAGACAATTTTCTTTTGATGCAGTTTTAGTTGACGGGCCACAAATAATAAGCTTTATAACCACGAAATATTTATCTATCGGTGGAAGGAGAAAAAATTTTCTCAAGTTAAGACATGATATGTGAAGAGACAAGCGAGCTATAACAGGTTCTAGCAACCACTAAGAGAGGCTGAAACCATTGACAAAACACATTTGTTGATAGCGAAAAATCTTAATTGATTTCAAATACGTACTTCGGAATGAAGATTAACAACTGAGCTAAGCTTGGGGCAAATCCATTTGATTAGGCGGCGAACAGCGTTACCATGGAAGCTTTCCTTCATAGTGCTGTTGGGAAAATGCGCAGACGTCAGGCTTATGGGATCGGCTTAAACTACTTATTTCTTAAACCTGAGCTTTCCTCTGCCTTTTCCCTCTTTCTATTTTCGTAAAGGAATAAAATTCTGGTGGATATATTCGCTTATTACATTTAGCGGTGGAACAGAGTCCAAACAGCAACTAGAAATCAAAAGTTAAGTCAGAAGATATGGTTGACTTACATTAATTTTGTCCTTACCTCAATATGGTGAATTTCTCTAAGGCTAATTTTAGAAAAGCACAGAAACTTATAGACCGACCTCTCATATTCATGTCACAGTGAAAAATGTATCCTCTAAATTTTAATTACTTGTTTCGCTGAAACCTTAATTAAAAACAGTCAATATTTTAAGGAATTAAACATACAAAAACAGAATTAGGATGTTAGAAGCGAGTATTTTGCGCTATTGAACTAACTCTTCAGGATAACTTCACTGAATAATGACACAATGACATTATAGAAAAATTGAAAAATGAACTGAAACAGGTAAACTCCAACAAACTGATACCAAATATGCGTCTCGTCGGTATCCAACTCAACATATCAAACGTTAACTTCTCTGGGCTTAATTTGCAAACGGTACCAAAATGACCAGCACAGATAGCGACACAGAAAGTGTCCCACCACTGGAAGTTAGTTACATTATCAGTATTATCTTTAACAGCATCGCCTGTCCCTTCACAGTTCTGCTCAACGTGCGGGTTATAATGGCCGTGAAAGCAAGATCCCGACTCCGAACCAACAGCAACATCTTGCTTGCCTGTTTAGCGGTGACCGACGCATTAACTGGTCTCGTTTCCCAGCCCCTGTATATCCTGTGGAAGATATTCCAGTTATTCGGTCTCAAGAGCAGTCCAACAGTCAAACGTCCCCTTGTCAATTCTTTGTCCGTTTTTATGATGGCTTCATACCTTCATCTGATATTGGTTACTTTCGAGAGACTCATAGCTATCAAATTTACGATGCTATACTCAAAGATTGTAACTGATAAAAAAATGAAAATGGCAGTGTTAGTAGTCTGGATCATTGCCTTTATGTGCGGGGTATTCAGCGTGTTAAAAATGTTTCTAGTATTACTTCCTATTTCAATCCTTATCACTGTTTCGTGTGTCGTTTTTGTTGCTTTTGCTTATGCGATATTGCTACATGAAACGCGTCGCCATCGAAAAAAGATAAAAGCACAACAACTGCTCCAAGAAGAAGTGGAAAGATTTACCAAAGAGAACAAGGCACTCAAGACAACTGTGTTTGTAGTTGGTGCTGTTCTTGTCTGCCTTCTCCCATTTTGTTTCTGTCAGATCGTGTGGGCAAATGGTAGTTATTGTCCCATCGACGAAGTATTGCTGCAGCCAATTGCTATGTTTAACTCCCTTGCTAATCCACTGATTTACTGCTGGAGACAAAAAGAAATGAGGAATTTCATATTTAGAAAAGGGTCCCAGGTCGTGCATCCAGTTACCAGTGAAAGTGGGACATGAGGTGAAGAGACGGAAAACTTGCTAATTATTTACGATACGATACTTTATTAACGTGGGTTTACGGTAAACTAATCGCCAAGTTTACAGGAAATCCACGGCCCTAGTATATTCTAAGAATTAAAACTTAAAAATGTACGATAATTGATCGTATAAAACTATATATAAATGTAGGGGACGAAAAATCTCGAGAATCAAATTACCATAAATTCCTATATCAGTCAAACTTAAGCGATCGAATTTTGTTCTTCACTTCATTAGTGCCTGCTTTAGTTCTAGTTAGTTCGTTTCATTTCTTTGCGGGAAAATATCTCCATGATTTGAGACCGCATTTAGTCGTGTTAATTTGCGGCAAAGAAAGGACATAGTCATGTCGAAGATTATATTTGGAACCTGAGCGTAAGGTGATAAGATCTCTAATTGATGGATGGAGCATTGTCCGATATACAACTGTTCAATGTCAAGAACATGTCTTGGGTTCTTCGAGATTCCATGGATGGGAGTCTCATTCTTTGCAATGCATCTTGATAAAGTGCACTTTTATCTCTGAAGATGTAACTGAGGGCCCTTTCACGGACTTTCTCCATTTTAGCAGTGATTCTTCTACCGCAGTGGCGCCAGACTTGGTAAATGCAGTACTTAGTTTTTAGTGGTAAAATATTCTTCAGTCTGTCCAGAGCGCATATATGAGAACTTACTTTGCCACAAATACAAGGATTGTGATCGTCAAATTTTAATATGTCAAGAACAACTCCAAGGAGACAAGTCCTTTTTGTGGTTTTAATGTCGATATCAGATGATTTAAAGTTCAGTTTGTCTTCCGTTTTTCCAAGTACCATAGCCTGGTATTTATCTGGGTTTAGTTTCATGCCATTGTGAATAAATCCTGAGGTGGCATTCCGGCACGAGATCGATATTAAGGTTGTTTTGAATAAGCACAAACATATATTAAGCAATGTATGTCCTAAAATAGATCCCTGAGGGACCCCTCTAGACACTACCTGCAAGCCATGTGGGGAAAGCAGCACTGAGATTTACTCATAAAGCGAGGAGAGATAGCTACGTGCTAGTGAATGCGTGATCGCCCAGACCATAGAATTTCAGTTTCTCTAAAGCAGTATCGCGATCTTCTTATAGTTTTGGCTATGCGCGAGCCGTCAATATTTCGTGGTATTGCCGTCTCACTTTTGCGGCCTGTGATTGGTTCTAATTTTGAAATTGACGTCGTTGCACTAAATTGGGTTGCTGACGTACACAAACAAATTACCGCCGCGTTCAAATGATTGCACAAATATTTCACTTCAAGTTCAACAGTATTTATTGAAAATTCGACTTTTACAGTCATAAACATTGTAATAATGTGACNGACGGAAACAGGGTAACCACGTTTATCGAAGAACTGGCACATTGACTCTGATTTGTGATGGAAATCAGAGTCATCACTACATAAACGACGAAGTCTTAGAAACTGAGAAAAAGGAATGGAATTCTTAACGTGAAATGGATGCGAAGACGAATACAACAAGTAATTATGCGAGTCTGTAGGTTTCTAATACACACTAGTGCATAAACCGTTCAAGCGGGTTACCACCGCGCTCAACTTATTGATCGACATTCAGCACTACAAACGTCGCATAAGGAAGATTCCGACCGCATTCCATTCACTCTCACGTTTCACCCTCACAACCACTCAGTTAAATCCATCATTCTTAAAAACTAATATACAAAACTAATTGCGATTTTGAGACGAAAATACCACATTATATTGACGGCTTGTTGGGAGAAAATATATTTCGTATTGGGCGGAGTCGCAAAGCTCGAAACGTCAGCTTTTGTAATCGTTACGGTGGCCAATTTACCATTTCAACTTTGTTGATATATCCAGATTATTTCGTTACTCCCACCGACGCAGCCCCAAACAGTTTCTTTCGAAACTATCAGCCTTTATTCATTTGTAATCAACAAACCTGTATAAGGTAACTGCTTAGAAGCTAACTGGTGTGAAGTGCTATTGTTATCCAAATCGACCGTATTTTAACAGCATAACAAAAGAAGCGGCAGAGATCTCTTTGAAGTTTAACGAAAACTACTTAAACATTCCCAACTGTTTCTACGATGAAAGAATTTCAAATTAAAAGGACGGATGCGATCAACTCGAGGTCATTACTAATAGGAAACTTAGGTGGGAATTTGCAGCTCTGTTATAGAAAATATACCTATCTTAATTGCAGTAGCGCAGCTCAGGAAATAAGAGTGGAAAGTAATTAAAAGTTTCTGCTTATCTATGTAAGGTTGGTGTGGAAACTATTGATCGTATGAAAGGAAATTAAAATAACGAGAATAAACTCAGCTGCCAACCACCATGAGAACTAATCTTTTTCCTGAAAGACCTTTAACGCTTATATTTACCTAAATTTTCACTAGAATTGAACAACAAAAGTACCGAGATGCAGCTGTCCAATTTAACTAGTTCAAAATGTACTTCTGGCTTTATATCTTTTTAAAACATCACAATGAAAAAAACTCGCATGAATTGAGAACGCTAAAATTCTGAAAACAGCGAATAAATCATGATGCTTAAACATCCACAGGGAAAGGTCACTAAATTTTCCCGTGACACCAGCAATCTTAGGGGCGCTCAAGAATTAACTTCCTTCTTCCCTTTGCAATCAAGTGATTCTCACCCATATGTTGACAAAGGATTTAAGTTTGATGATCGCTATCAGGGGCGTAGCCAGGATTTTTCAAAGGGGGGGTCACAGAGGCTACTCACCATTTACACCGCTGCTCTCCCGCGTGTATCAGCGGGCTCAGTCGTATTATCGCGGCACGAAGGCCCATATCAATGGCTTTTACGGCCAAGATATTGTGAAGGCGTTTTCGCCACCTGAATATTGTAGGTTGTTTGCTCTAGAGAAGACCTACCAAGGGGGGGTCTCGGGCACCCCAGGACCCTCCTACCCCCCTGGCTACGCCCTTGGCTATTAATGTAGTGGGTAAATCCTATTAAGCAGCCTCTGGAGATGGTCTTGGAAAATCTTCGGCAAATGTTCTCACAACTTCAGCATTTACATGTGCAGAATAGGACCTTGCTGCTGAGAGAATTTAAACCAATTAGGTTTAGCTGTTTCAATTTATAATGCCTTTACGTGATACGAGGAAATAGTTTCAAATTTAGGACAAAAGCTAAGAACGTGTTGAAAGTTTGTCTCTCCAATAGAAATGCAATTTCCCCGAAGGATAACTTACCTAAAGGGGAGATGTAGTTCTCTGAGTACCTTCGGAGACTGATAGGAGCAATACTGATGCATAGATCCCTTTCCGTGAAAAGTTTCCCCACAACATTATAATTAACGTAATAATAGCAACGGACATGTCTCGCCAACTATTTAGAACTTTAACCTTTGCTCAACACACGTATAAACTTTGGCATGCTACGCATGAAAGAGTTTTTTTTTTTTGGATGTGTGGGTTGACTTTGTCGACGACGGTCGACCACGACTGTTGGATGAGTGTCACGCAACATTTCACACTATTGAAATGTCACCGTTAGAGCTCCGGGACGGTGCGTTTTCCCACGGTTTCTAGCTAGTCGTGGTGAAGGCATGGGTTTTTCTTGACGTTGAAATTAACACCNACCTCCCGCACAACAGTCCGGCGCTCTACCAATTGAGCTAACCAGGAAGCCGAAATTAATAACTAAGTGAAGAAAATTTGTGGCCGGGACCGGCACGGTTTAAAGTAGCAAATTTGATAAGTGTTGTAAAGAACGAAAGTTATTTGTATGGCATGGTCGTTGTAAGGAAGTTTTAAGTATTTCATTTGGTCACTTCTTTAAGGTTACTTCCCACCTTCGTGGGTGTCCTTCGGGAAAAAAATTCGTATGCGTGATAGTTTGTAGAAAACTCTAACAAACTATACGTCAAAAGAAAGCTTAATACATGCAGTTTACGATATAAATAAAATTTAATTTAGGCGATTCTTTTATTTAGGGAGTATCAGGAACCGGTAAGGCGTGAAACGACCGAGGGTCCTTGTATTGAATTAATCGGGTATCGGATCTCGCTCCACGAGCTAAATACCTGCACAGTCTCATTCACAATCTATTGTTGATTGCATCATGCAATCAACAACTGAGTGTCAGGCTTTTGCGACATTCTGATTGGTTGTCTAGATATCCACGTCAAAGTTAGAGTAGCGTAAGGTGTTGAGTAAATGGACACAACGTGAAAAATATTTCAAACATCAAATTTCCTGACACACCTTCGTTTGTCATTATCCGTGGAATGTTTTGGCAAAATTTCACGAAAATTGGTCAAATCTACATACCTTATAAATTCGCTCAAAGTGGATGTATTCCTCTCAATTAAAATCAAATGCGAGATTTTAGCTCCTAAAGGTTTGTAAACAACTAGCGCCACACCAAGAGATTATCTCGCCTCCTGAAACCGCGAACCAATGGGAATACGGGACCTCCTGGCGTCAATGACAATGCATCAAGATTTCCCCGGGAAAAGTATCGCATAGCAGACGCGTTTTTTGATCTCGCTCTGTTAAACGTCGAGTAATGGGAAATATTGGCAAAGAAAAAACCCGCGGAAAAAAGGGTAA